TGACGGATCGAGGATGTGCACAAACCGAACGGGAAATTGAAGCTTGGCAACAAACCACCCTTTTTTTCGTACCTCTCTGACTCTCGTCGCCAATCTATCGGGTCTCTCTCTCGTCTAATCTATCCGTAGAAGAGCGACCGTGTGCCCTGTCCCCCCCGTCCGAGTCTCTTTCGATCATGCAACGCTGTTTTCTGTCTTTCCTTTAAACAATTTGACGTCGAAGTTCCAGTATAGACAACGAGGAGCTATTCGACGTTGAAGGGGAAGAATCCTCTCACTCGCTTCGCCTCTTCTTCCCCCCTCCCCACCTTGCCCAGTTGCCCCCTTCCACTCTTTCAGGGGACAACCGTGGAACCTTAATTGGACCCTTTTGAGCTCATCGGATGATTCTGCACCGCGTCCAACTATCGTGAGTAGGGACACACTCTCGCACACGCACATACCGAGGGGACACGCGAGGAAGAAAGAAAGCTTGAAGCTCCAAACGTCGCCATCGTAGAGTGCTCCCAATCGCAAGCTGACGATGCCTGCGACCAGACACCTTTGAAGGGCAATAACATTACAAACACCACACATTCGTTACAACTAAACATAAAGCAATAATCATGAAGCTCACCCAAGTCGCTCCTTTTCTCATATACACCCTCCTCGCCGCCCTCCTCCCCTCCTCCGCATACGCCGACCGCATCCTCCAGTCCTCGTCTCTCAACAACTGCCAAAAGAAATCCGACTTCTCCGCCAGCTTGTTCAACGTCGTCGTCTCCGCCAACAATGGCTCCGTCATGGCGAACATCGCCGCCGTCGTCTCGGTGGAAGGCAAGGCTGTCTTCGACGTCGCGCTGCGCATCTACGGCTACGACTACCTGAAGATGACGATAGACCCGTGCACCATGGACCTCCAGGGCCTCTGCCCGATGAAGCCCGGCAAGATCGACATGGAGTTCTCGTTTGAAATCGGCGACAAGCTCGACCAGGTGCCCGGTATCGCCTACACCATCCCCGACCTCGACGCCACCATCCGCGCCATCGTCAACCTCACTGAGACGAACACGACCGTCGCCTGCGTCGAGGCAGACTTCTCCAACGGTAAAACCGTCGACCTCGTGGGCGTCAAATGGGCCACCGCCGTCATCGCCGGCCTCGGTCTCGGGTCCGCCGGCATCATCTCCGCCATGGGCCATACCGATGCCGCCGCCCATCTCGCCGCGAACGCCCTCTCTCTATTCGGATACTTCCAGGCTCAGGCCTTTGTCGGTCTTTCAGGCGTCGATATGCCGCCCATCGTACAGGCGTGGACGCAGAACTTCCAGTGGTCAATGGGTGTCGTCAGGTTGGGCTGGATGCAGACCCTCTGTACGTGGTACCAGCGCTCAACGGGCGGTGAGGCGGCGCGACTGTTCGATTCGTTGAGCGGTATCTCGGTGCAGGTCTCGAAGCGCTCGCTCGACATTGTCAACAGCATCGGTCCCGTCAAGCGCGGCATCAACGCCATCGCGAAGCGTGCGAACATCCTCCAGGACAACGGCTCCTACGTCGTCTACGGCATCCAGCGCGTGGCTTTCAAGGCAAAGATCGAATCGACGAACCTGTTCCTCACCGGCCTCATCGTGTACTGTTTCTTCATCATCTTTACCGTCCTCATTATCGCCGCGTTCCGATACGGTACCGAGATCGCGGTGAAGCAGGGATGGTCCAAGAAGGACCGCTTCGTCGAGTTCCGTCGCGACTGGAAGACTACCCTCAAGGGCGTCCTATTCCGCCTCAACCTCATCGGCTTCCCGCAGATCGCCGTCCTGTGCCTGTGGGAGTTCACCCAGATCGACTCGGCCGCCCTCGTAGTCCTGGCCGTCTTCTTCTTCCTCGGCACCCTCTTCACCCTCATCTGGGCCTCGTGGAAGGTTATCCTCATTGCCAAGCAGTCGATTCTCACCCACCAGAACCCCGCGCACGTTCTTTTCTCGAACCCCCAGATCATTAACAAATGGGGCTTTCTCTATGTCCAGTACCGCGCCTCTGCGTACTACTTCATCATCCCGTTCATCGCCTACATCTTCCTGAAGTCCGCCGTCATCGCGTTCGGTCAAAAGGCCGGCGTCGCCCAGGCCATCGCCCTCATCGTCATCGAGGCCGCCGCCCTGATCGCCGTCAGCGTCCTCAAGCCATTCATGGACAAGAGCACAAACTCCTTCAACATCTCAATCTACGCCATCAACTTCATCAACTCCGTCTTCCTCCTCATCTTCACAAACGTATTCGACACCCCCGGCATCGTCGTCGGTGTCGTCGGCGTAATCCTCTTCATCGTCAACGTCATCTTCGCCTTTGTCCTCCTTCTCATGGTCCTTATCTCCAGCATCCTCGTCTTCTGGCGCGTAAAGGGCCAACCGACCGGCACCGGCCCCACGCAGCTCAACGACCCCTCCATCCTTGCAAAGGGCGACCGCACCGAGGGCAAGTCGCTTCTCGACCTGGATGAGGACGACAAGGTGAACCCGTACCGCCGCGAGTCGCTGCGCTACGGCGAAGAGAAGGCTACCGAGAGCGGCATGAGCCTGCACGTGTCCACGTCCACGTCGAACCTCAACAGCAGAGGCGATACCCACGAAATGTCATATCTGCCCTCGCCGGGCTCCAGGCCAGCCGTGAGCCCGTCGGTGCCCATGTTCCCCGCCGACCGCTCATTACGATCTCAAAGTCCTGCCCCGCCGCGGTCACCAGCGAGCGACTTCCCCCCGCCGAGTCCGTTTGGGAACGGATCTGCACGCAGTATCCACGAGTTTCGATCCCAAAACAACAATAGGTGAGTTGTCCTTTGCTGAAATCAGTCTCTTGCCACCCTTACTAATCATCTATGCACAGTCCATGGCAGCGCGGTGCTGGATATGATCATTGAGGATTACAGATAATAAGGGCACATTCGCCAGACGTTCATCTTGTCTCTCTTTCCTTTTTCTTCTCGTTACCGTTTACATCACACTTTTCCGGGGGCGTTATATAGAGTCTCATCTGGAAACCTGCATCAGCAAGCGTGCATAGAAAAGAACACCATCTACTTTGTATAATCGGGCGCAATTGCGGAGGTTTCCCCTGGACAGCCACTTCTGAGGAACTGCGCAGGATCCATTCGCCCTCATGCCTAGACTTGAGAAAGCTTACGCTAATCAATCGGAAAGGCCCATGAAACTGTAACATGGGTTTTAATCCCTTCTTGTGCCGTGTTATCGTGTGTTCAAGGGCAGGATAGCTCCGACTCCTCATCCTATCTTCGCGGGGCACCAACTACGACACTTGCCAGTGATGTGAGTAGATGTTAATCGGAAATATCGAGAAGAGTACCAGCAATAACGTATAAGCTTTGGTACAAACCTCCGTCGCAATTCGGCGCGGCGAAATACTCCCAGTTACGGCCCCAAGAAGCGTGACATAATGGCTTCGTACTACTCGACTATGTGATGAAGTCGTGTATCATTTCCAATGCAGCTAATGCCCGCTTCAGTCGTGCTGGAGGTTAGGAGACTCTTCTCCGGCTCGATGGAGGTGTGACCCGCAATCTCATCAGTGAAACCCGCCCGAACTGTGATCATTGGCAACTTGGATGCTGTGGTGCAACAGCCGCTCCCGCAAATTTCCACATTTTGACCCAGTGCTTGACGTCACTGAAGACACATTATACACGCCGCGATTGTGGCGCTCGATTTACGCAATGCACATAACGGTAACATCATATTCGATGGTAGCCGTGGAAATCAAAAGACGAATCATATGTATCATCAATATATTTTAAATACATATACCTTACTGTTATCAATACCTCATAATCAAGAGTCACTTTTGTCCTGGCTCTTGACTGCAAGCTCTCGAAATACTCTTTCCATACACATAACCAGAATCTTCCACACATATCTCAACTCGTCAACTTCATTCTTCAAAAAGGACGTTCCTTCTCCAACATGCCTCAATACCAGCCTCAAGCCGACACCTTTAGTATGTCAAATTTCTGCCATATCCTTCGTGGCCGGGGCCGAATACTGACGATGAACAGAGGACCCTTTCAGCAAGGCTGAGGCCAAGCAGCAGATGGCAGAGCAGCAATACGAGGAGAGGAAAGAGCACTCGAAGAGCGGTGCAAACACGCAGACGGGGCACCATACAAAAGTCGTCAAGGAACCTAAGCAAGACTGAAGTATGGTTGCTTGGGACATATTAGGACAGGTAAAAGCGGCAGCATGCCTTCTGTTTGACCAATTATCTTCACTCGGTTCTTGTGCTTCGTATTGCTAGGATGTTACGAGGCATGGTTGTCATCATGTCTTATTCAAATCATTGATCAAGTACCATTGTAAAATTGCGATTCACGGATGTAGTCGAAAAGTGACTCTCTTCTAAATTTCTCTCATCTTCGAGCCTATCAAAGATACAGCTGTTATGAGCAATTGACATCGGATGGGTACCGTCCTCGGAAACTCTTACATCATCGCCTATAGCTTGAACTGAACCTTCGTGCGCCTGGAAGCGAGCTTAGTCCGAGGTCCTTCCTGTAATAGCTACAACAATCCTATGCAGCCTTGGCCTTTTCTACCTAGAACTGATATGGCTTGCAGGATTCATCAATGACTGCATCTTACACGTTGGAGACCAAGCTGTGGTTGTGCCAAGCATAATCCTGCAATCCTTCGAGCGCACCTTCCTTGATCAGACAAGCTTCGGGTAAGACCAAGACTCAGGCTCAGATTGCAACATCTTATAAGTATCTATGCACTTGATGTTTTCACTTTATCATTCTTTCATCAACGAAGGTACTAGTCTTCAACCCAGCCCCCAGTATTTCACTCACCCTCACAAACCCTCCTGCGGAAATTTTGTTAGCCCAGCCTTGGCTTTCGCTTGCCGCACTTTCTCCAGATTCTGTGCCATACACAATCTTGTAAGCGTGGCTTCCAGATCGTTGTCAACTTTTTCCCTCGTCTGTCGCTAACGGATGAGAAAGCTCAACGGTCAATATGGTGAAGATCAGCCTTGCTCTTCTCGTAGCTGTGGCATCAGCTGCTCTCGCCGCTCCTGAGGCTATCGGCGCTCGCCAAGCCGCGGGATGTCAGCCTTCCGAGACTGTTTGCCGTGATGGCTGGGCGTGGTGTTGCAGTGGCTCAACTTGCTACGAGTTCGCTCCTCCTACGGCCTGCTAGGAGAATGCGACTACTTGTTGAGATTAGATGGTAAAACCAGAGAGGATCAAGCTGATGGTATGGACTTAGATCTCATCTGAGAAAGTCACTGAGAATGGATAAATTGAGACTTCTACTAAGATCATTTGAGATCGAATATGACCTTCTCGATTACAGCGGTGCACGGGATGCCATGAGTTTCGAATTTAACCATACGGAAGAGCGAACAGGATAGCCCATCAGTCTTCTTTAAAACACGACATCTCATTTTCATAGATGATACTAGCTTGCGTCTCAAAACTACACATGACAGACGCCACAAAGCGTGTAAATAATGACGTGATACAAAGACTCATAGGTCGACCAACCAAATTTCCAAGAATTCCTTTCATACATTTACAACTCACGCAACGGGCTTCTGAGCCATGAAGACGTTCGCTGGGAAAATGCCGCCCTGCTCAGTCATCTCCTTTGTGTATCTCTCCTCCAGGTTGGTATAGATTACCGGATCCATATCAGGAACCAACACTACATTTGGTAAGTGAGGGTCGGCTTACGGCAAAGACAGATTGCTTCTAGTCAACTCACTTTGGGCGTTCCTGGCGACAAGCGGAATGGTGTGCATGAAGGGCTCGATGGAAGATTTGACGGCGGCCTCGTCGCCATGCACTTTACCAATCCCACACTCCACTCGCTCGACCTTAACGTTTTGGAGACCGGCCATCTTCATTGCCTCTGGAATCTTGGACGCGTATTTACGATCCATTCCCTGCTTCTCAAACATGGTCCCAATGATGTTAATGAGATCCTTCAGTGACTGGGGTTGGTTCGGCTGGTCTGGACTGATGTCCAGCTCCATAATCTGCAACCAGCCTCCCGGGGCCAACGTATCTTGCATCAGTTAGACTAGAACGCGCGCAACCCATCAAACAGCAGCCCGAACCAACGAATTCAACAACCGATGACTTACCGGCGAGGTTTGCGATGGCCTGCTCAATGCCGGACCGGTGGGCGCTGTGGAGAACATTGCGAACGTGGGTCAGATCGAACTGGCCCTTTAGATCCCCGGCCGGTGGATCGCAAACGTCGTGGGTTACGTAGCGGATGTTGCCCTGAGCTGACGTGGGCAGGAAAATGGTTGAAACATCGGCGCCGACCATGTGCGCGGATGGTGGAACCTGTTTCTGCAGGTCCCGTAGTAGTGTTCCTGTGATATCGCGTGTTAGAGGTCCCATTTCACAGTGCAGTCGAAGATTGAGATACCGTCGGCGCAGCCCATATCGAGAATCCTGAGCCCGTCCTTCGTGGTATTCACTGGCGCGAAAACGATCTTGTCTTTGAGGCACATCTGGATCCAACGATGCTGGACTTGAAGGCGCGTCAGCTCGGCTTGGACATCGCCGACCATGGCTAGGTACTGGTTATCGGCTTGGCCATTGTGTCCGGTCTGGCTACTCATGTTGGAGTTCGTTCTGAACGTGTGTTTGTTGCGATTCAATAGAGAATGGATTGGGATGCTTTGCACCCTGAAGCCATCAAGAGCTCCACGGAGGACAAGATGATTAAATGCAACCTCCCCGTCCCATCTTCAACCGATCACAAGCTCTCTAGTGTCTGCCCAACATACGTGATCGGCAAATTTAACAAGCTAGCAAGCTCTTCGTGTAGACTGGAGTCTAAAGGCTACTGGTATTCTAGAAGGCGTTTGTGAAGGTGGTATAGGATCTAGATTTCGTAGACTTCCGCATTTGGCTCACTCCGAGTTATGCATAATGTCTAGAAGACATGAGCATGAACTCGAGTCACTGGCTGACAGGTCGACTCAGCAACAACTGAACACTAAATCTCTACTGGCAGGAGGGGAAAATAGGGATATCATAGAGGCCGAACAGGCGAGCCTCGCGTATCTATCGCGTGACGATTGCGATTGCGATAGCGATGTTGAACGTGTCAAGTTACAGATATCACGAACACGATGAGATCCGATAATATCAGTAATACTCAGTCTCCAATGACGAGCGCGGCTGGACGAACTCGTGTGGTTCAGATGTGGCGGCTGATATGTAGATGCAGGGCGGATGACGGCGTCGATATGTTCTGGAACTTGACGTGAGGGAGGGTAGGGACGGAGTTGCGGGTTCTGGGTGCGGGCCATCGCTCATGTTTGCTTTTCCGGGACAGCACAATTAAACATGTGTCTGCCAGATTGAGCCACGCATCAGACTACAACCAGTCGCAAGTTGTACAGAGGCAAAACGTGGAGAACTGCCGAGGTTTGTTTCTTCTGGTACGAATACGGAGCTGATGCCAGGTGGATGGATGATGGAAGTTCTGTATCCGTAATTGACTTCGGGAATAAAGGCCCGCCCGGCGTGCTCCCACTCGGGATCCCATGGGCCGTCCGGTGTCTCCCGGCGAAGATCAGGAACGAGAACGACTGAAGATTCGGACATATCGATGTCATTCTTCGGGCGATCCGAGTAAAGTAGTTTCTTCAAGGGCCTCTCATGCAACTTACCTCGATGCCGTGATTTTGGAGGGGGGAAACAGATGGGTTACAACACTGTGTCACATCGGCCGAGCCAAGCGGGCGATCCATGCTCCTGTGCCGTGCGTATCTGCGTATACTTGAAACAGTTAGGCCCAATCTTGAGTTAAATAAGCAAAGTCACGCCATCCCTGGGCAGCGTGCAAAGAGCCTAGGGTTACAACACCGTGGACTCCCGTGGGAGATAGGCACATCTTTGATGATAGGAAGGGAGGCAGGGCCAAAGAGGCACAGCTGGAGGCCAAGCAAACATTTACTGTAGGGCTGTTTCCATGTCTCTTTTGCAAATCTCTCTGTGCATGGCGAGCTTCCTTAAGCGAGTCAGTCTAGCTGATCCCGCTCACACCTTCCTGCAATGACCGTCCGAAGATCCGAATCTCTCATGCTCATTGGCTCCACTTCAAGACAGTCAAGGTTTGATGATTGATTAAGACTGTCACAATCTTACAGAGTACAGACACAGAACACTCATACAGTCACGTCAATCCGTGGCTGTTGGTGTGCCGTGCCGTGCCGGGCCTTTTTAATAAGCCTCGGGCACCCCCTCATCCGGCCATCGTCAAAGTGTTTCGAGTTCCTGTGTTCGTGTCCTTCAGTCCCTACGACATCGACGAGAGTGTTCGGTTGAGCTGTCCCGCCTCGCCTTCGAGTTGATCTCGACAAACATACACATTCATTCCTTTTGAAAAGACCGCGAGAACGAGAAGAACTCGTCGCAATATTTCACAGACAAGATGAAGACATCCATCGCTTACATCATCGCCGCGGCCCTCTTCGGAGCTACGCAGGCTGCCATCACCCCGATGAACAACATCATTCGTCACGAGTACAACCTCAACGCCAGAGCCGGTGTTCACGGCAACATTGAGAGGGACGAGCCCGCTGTTGCCCCCGAAGGCGATGTTCTGCAGCCCATTGTCTAAAGAATCGGCGCTTCCATTTGCACGCACCCAAACACGCGCAATTAACGTCGCCCCGTCTTCAATTGTCGGATACGGGTCCGAGCCGGGTCACTTTCTACCCCGCGGCTTTGGCCCCCAATCTTTGAGGGCCTTACACCACGATCGACTTTCAACTTCAATTCTACGCATGCTTTCAGACATGCGACCTAGGGTACAGCGATGAGGAGTTTAGGCGGAGACTGAGATAGGAAGTGGGCGTTTGAAGGATTCTTTTTGACGGGTATGGAAAACATTTCGAGGACGAGAGCAAGACCAAGGGATCGGAAGGACTTTCGGTTGGCAAGGATATTCCAAGGCAAAGCGAGGAGCGCCGGCTTAACGGATTGAAGCCACGATGAATGCAAACTTTTCAAGCCAAACCCCTACTTCTCTGCGCGTGCACATTTTGATGATCCTTCGACTCCACGAGCTCGGTAATGAGGCAGTCGATCACCTGGTGAACTCCCACGTGTAGTTCCACACTTGATGCCCATCAACGATAAGCTCATAGTCTACCGTCCATCGGCCCTCCTCCGACGTGTCAAACGACACCCGACCAAACTTTGAATTTCCCCACGGGTGCGAATACACCGAGACGTCTGTGTCCTCAATCTGTCTATGGAACCGATCGAAGGGTTCATAGAACTGGTTCAAGGGCGAAGTGGAAAATTCAATCACAGACTTACCACCCTTGTCGCTAGTGGGCGGAAAGATCGTCGTCGCGTGCTCATGCCTGTCCTAGTCAAAAAGAAGCAAAAAATTAGCTCAAGCAAACTATTGAAATCTTTGGCAGGGTCGATCAAACAGAGACCAGCTTACTCCACTCAAGATGATAGCTCCGTCCGTTTGTCTCATCATCTCCAAGATCATGTCTCTCTCCCACAGATATCCCGACCAGCTATCGGCCGAATCGGGGCCCCTCCAATTTCGCGTGAACGGGACGCTGCCGACAACGACTTTCCACGACTTTTCTGTTTCAAGCCACTTTCGCAGGTCCGCTAGCTGCGCCGCGCCAAGCATCGTCTTCTCAGGCCCGTCCGCCATGTTTTCAGCCGATCGATAGCGCCGCGTGTCTAGGACGAAAAACGAAACGTCGCCCCGGCGGAAGGTGTAGTGCGTTTTGCCGACGCCATACTGCGAGGGAGGGTTCGCGTGCCCTTGATAAGACCAATATGGCTTCATGGCGGACTGATAGAGACCTGTCTCGTTCGCCGCCCAGTCGTTGATGATCTCATGGTCGTCGTAGACGTGCAGCCACGGCACAGATCGAAGCGCGGGTGACCAGCTGGGCGAGGCATAGACTTGACGGTATGCTGTGGTGTAGTGCTCTGGAGTCCAGCCGAGGGCCACTGGCAGGTCGATGTAGATGAAGTCGCCCAGGAAGAGCATCATGTCTGGCTGGTTCACCGAGACATGCCGGTCCAAGTACTCCAGTCCTTTGATGCGCAAGCCATGATCCAAGGGGTTGTAAGGGTAGAAAGGCTTGATGCAGCTTGTGGAGATGAGACTCCATCGCTTTGGCGAGAGGGCTGCAGTCCTGAAAGATCCGGCATGGCTGGCATTCGTGGTGTAGGTGTACGGCGTGTCTGGCTCCAGCCCTTCAAGCAAAAACGTCCCGGTATGATCATCGGAATCAGCGATGACGATTGTCTGCGACTTAGTAACCTGGCCATCTCCCTCGGAAGGCGCCCAACTGATCTTGACGTAGTTTGTATGGAGAGCTGGCGCTCTTACAACGATCCGCGCCGTACCTTCATCCATGTAGCCCATCCGAGAGAAGGAGAGATCGTGACTCTGGTGGAGTACGCTTCCTCTGTAGATGAAGTCCCATACGGACCCAAGTGACAGGATGTTCAACATGACTGTGACCAAGGATGTAACCGGCGATGACCGGTCAACCCAACCCAAGAGTAGAAGCAGCCATGGGTGGTGTTGCCTAGAGGCCCGCCGCGAATTGGGCAACAGGAGCCTAGCAACTAGAGAGACTGCATACAACGCGCAACTCCCATAGATTTGATTGAGATATCTCTTTCCAAGTGGATGCTATTTGCTTGTTAGAATACGGTTCATCGATTCATAAGGGGCAAGGGAAAATATGACACATGTCAAGACTCACGAATCTTGTGAACAGGATTGCCAACAACCTAAGGCTGAGAGCTGCCACTGCCGTAATGGCGTCTAAGACACGAGTGAGAACCATGTCGAAGTCTTCGCTCTGATAGAGTTGTGAATTTGCTAGGTTGACGAGACTCGAGATGAGGTGTGTTCCAAGCCTGTCAGATTCACGAGACCATACACCGAGTTTGAGTTGACAAATCGACCCCAGACGTTGACAAAGGCGAACGTCCAAGAAAGGGCGCTCAAGATTAGACTTTCTGCCTATTCAATCTATGGACCCGGAACCACGGTCATGGTACTCGAAGTGGATTTGAAGGATGAACACTCTCCCCATCACCACGTCGCGTACTTCCAATTATCAACACACGTGCAATGCCAGTGCCGTCACTCATGGCCGGGAACAATCAACCTCGTTATGGACTCTGTCAGGCCGTCATCCCGAGCCAAGTGCATCTTTCCAACCGGAAAATGTCCCTTATCACTTCCCGGATGAGCAGAGTCGCCTTCGGGAGCATACCGGTGGGCCGCGGCGTCGGGACCCCACTCCGATGGACGTCTTAGACGATCGCATTTCACCACGTGGGCGTCCGAGGCCCGTGGGATGACAAGTTTTCTCACCCGAAGGCGGAGATCTACCGGGAGGAAAATATGACGGCCAAGCTCCGAGCACAAACTTCACACACTAATCAAAGCTTGTGCTTACAGCGTCAGTAACGTAGTTGGTAATGGATCTAGAAAATATAGCCTGAATAAGGTGAGGCGACTACAACTTATTCCTCCAGTGTGCACCCGGCGGCTCCCGCATCTCGGACATCTTCCGGTTAACTTAGCCTTCGGCCCCGATTTCGACTGCGGTGTTCATGCCGGAGCACGTGGTTGAGACAACGTAATGAATGGTTGAGGCAACTGCTTTCTTCCTTCTTAATGCCAATAGTTCGGCAAAATGCTTTTGTACGAAGGAGAGCTCAGAAGAAGGAATGCAATAGCTTGAGTTTTTGAGTGGATGGCTTCTTGACCCATACGCGTCCCAAGAATTTGGTTCGAATCAAGGATTCCACGTGGTAGTCTGCGAGGCACTCAGAATCAGCGTACATCATGCATTCGCGGTACTTATAACCAGGCAAACCGCGCTCGGTGCTTTTGTTGCAGCATACTTCTAAGTCATCGTCGACCACAAAGTCATCCAACATGGAGTCCACGTCAGCCTCGGTATTCGACACGATTGATCATGCAACCAAGAAGGATGTCGGAGTCATGGTATCGTCCGAGAGTGATATTGCGTCATCTCAAGAGCCCACTCCTCCTGCCAGAACCGCTGGGAAGCTCGACGTGCTGGTCCAAGGTGTCGCCTTGTTTTCCGATGGCTACAACATTCAGATCATCGGATACATGAACACCGTTCTGGCTAAGCTGTGAGTCTGCCATATGAGCAACAAATTTCTTGTTGGAGACAACGTTTGACGGACAAATGTCATCAGTTATCCGAAACAGATGACGAATGCCGTTAAGACAAGGCTTTCTAATTCCATTCTGATTGGCGACATCTTTGGCATGCTCATCTTCGGTCTTTGCATTGACAAGTTTGGTCGGCGAGTTGGAATCATTCTGACCACTCTCTTCTTGGTTTTGGTACGTCGACACCTTCGATATGATCGGTCAAAGGAGATTTGTCTTATCGAGAGCTGTTACTGATAGCCAGCTAGGGTATCGTCATTGCTACTGCTGCCCATGGAGCCTCCATTGAGGGAATGTTCTGGATGATGGTAATCGGCCGCGGTGTTGCGGGTGTCGGTGCTGGTAAGCAACTTTAGCTGGCCGTAACGGGAGGTTGAAGACTGACAGCAATGCAGGAGGAGAGTACACAGTCTGCACCTCGCAGGCTCTGGAGTGTGCCGACAGCACAGAGGCCATGCGCAGGAGACGCGGAATGCTCGTCGCAGTTTCCACAAACGCCGCAATCATCTCTGGTTTCGTCGGATCTAGTATCGTCTCTTTGATTGTCATTGCTGCGTATAATGGTCAAGCAAGTGACGGAATTTGGCGCATTTGCTTTGGAATTGGAATTTTCGTCAGTCAACCCAGCTCGACGAGTGCAAACCTTCCAAGTACTAAATATGAGAGTAAACTGACCATCTTCTCAGCTTCCTTTGGCGATCTTCTTCTTCCGCCTACGGCTCGTCGATTCACAGCAGTACCAGAAGCACGCCATTCAGCGCAACATTCCGTATCGTCTCGCCATCAAGTTCTACTGGAAACCACTCCTTGGATGCTGCAGCGCATGGTTCCTCTACGACGCCGTTGTATACCCCTTCAACCTTCTTGCACCAACTCTTGTCTCCGGCTTCTCCGCCCAGCAGACAATGATCCAGTCAATCGGCTGGTCCGCCCTAATTAATGCATTTGCCCTTCCCGGTGCCTTCATCGGCGCGCTACTGATGGACCGCATTGGTCGCCGTCAGACTTACGCCCTGGGTTGGGCCATCGTCTGCGTCTTCGGATTCGCCATTGGCGGCAGCATGATTCAGCTCAATAACGTATTCCCGCTCTTCGTCACCTTGTATGGCCTCTTCCAGACCTTCTTGTCTGTTGGCCCTGGAGACTGCAACTTTTTGGTCTCGAGCGAGTCCTTCCCTACACCGCTTAGAGGTCACTTCCTCGGATTTGCTGCCGCCATAGGCAAGGCAGGGGCTGCTATTGGCACGACTGTGTTGAGTGCGGCGCTTGCGAGCTTTGATGAGAAGTTGAAGGGACAGCAGGCGATCTTCCTCATCGGTAGTGGCATTTCGGTCGTGGGTACTCTTTGTGTGTGGTTCCTGATTCCCGACGTAAGTTGCCTTTGGTCTTTAATTTCATCTCTTCTGCTGGATCCATCTAACAGTTCACTAGGCTCCGAAGCATTTGGAAGACGAAGACGTTCGTTTCAAGAAGTATCTTGAAGCCAACGGCTATGACACGAGCCAGATGGGTCTCAAGGCGTAGTATTGGGTTTTGGGTCTGGTGCTTGAGGTATTTCGGAACATTAAAGGTGTCCGTCTTATACCGGAAATAAACTATTATCTCTCAATTCAGTTTTCTGCAATTCATCTTGCATGTTGGCATTGCACATTGGTTGACTTGAAGAGAAATACTTAGTGCAAGGCTGGTACTTTGTCGCTACATGTGGGGTTTAAGTTTACATGGCTGATAAACTCCCTTCTACGGCAATGGCGATGAAGCCTCAAGTTCAATTGCATTTCGAGCCGTGGGAATCTTCTCATGACATGTCTTTCCTGACATTGATCTGCCGAATTTCCATGCATTTCCAACGACAGACTCACTCGGAGGCCCAGAGACGTTGGCAAGCTTCTCTCATGAGTAAGGTACTTTGGGCATCGAACCCTTGATCTTGGCCACTGCAACTCAGCCAATGACACAACAAGTTTGTGCATATTGGTGGGTAACACCGTTCGATACGATCGGCGCAATGAAGCTAGCCACGGGAATGGCTTCCGTGGTAAGATTAGCGGCGTGGACAAGCGGCATGGGGAAGCTGCATTAGCCTGCGGAGGACCGCCAGCGGCCGCCATCATCTATGGAAGATACAGGGGCAGAGAACCTCAGTAAGCGAGATGTAGATCCGTCAGCATAAAGACCAGAAAACGATGATGCCTCGTGTCATCCCGCTTTTAGTTCGCTTTTTCCTTTAGCATTCCACAAAGATGCGTTCTCTGTTGGCGGTAACGAGCCTGGCCATCCTGGCATTGAGCGACAGTTATGCAACTGCATCATCAACAGTCAGATGCAATGCTACAGACTTGCACACCGTGTCCACCTCGAACGGACTGATTACCGGTCACCCGGCGTCGAACAGCTCCGATGTTCTCGAGTTTCTCGGGATTCCCTATGCGAAACCTCCAGTCGGCGACCTGCGATTCGCTCAACCGCAGAGGTTCAGAGGCAATGAGTCGTTTGAAGCATCTCACTTCGGCTTCGACTGCCCACTTTCGCCCTCTCGCCAAGTTGACTACCCGAACATGACAGCCCAAGCGCAGCGTATCATTGGATATTTCGCTTCTGCTGCCGGGACGCCCCAAAGCGAGGACTGCTTGACATTGAACATCTGGACAAAGCCAACAGCCAAAGCTCTCACCGCTACCAAGCCAGTCATTGTCTTCTTTTACGGTGGACGTAAGTGACAGAGATCTGTAATGCTTCGAGTCTTGCGTGTCACTAACAGGATCCCCCAGGTTTTGCCATTGGCAACACCAACAGTCCTTTCTACAATGGCAAGTACTTTGCAGATGCCCAAGATGTTGTCGTAGTCACAGTCAACTACCGCATCAACATCTTCGGGTTCCCAGGTGCCCCGGGTCAGCCTCAGAATCTCGGCTTGAGGGACCAACGCGCGGCCGTAGAATGGGTCCGCGATAACATTGCCGGCTTCGGCGGTGATCCAGAAAAAATCACTATCGCGGGCCAGTCCTCAGGCGGTGTCGCCGTGGACTACTGGTCATATGCCTACATCAAAGATCCCATCGTAAACGGCCTCATTGCACCGTCTGGCAATGCCTTCAGCTTCCCGCTCAACAGCCCAAATGTGACTGTGCGAAACTGGAACACCGTGGTCGCGGCTGTGAATTGCACCAATACTACTGATACTATGGCATGCATGCGAAGTCGGAAATGGGAGGATATCAAAGCTGCAGCTGCTGCCATCAGGCCGGCGTCATCCAGCAGCGTTCTTCGCGGTATTCCACCGTTCTATCCTTCGGTGGACAACAAAATAGTCTTTCCTGACTACGTCTCATTGACACAATCTGCCCAATTTGCCAAGCTGGTGAGCACTTCTTGTCTATCGTCTTGTCTTTTTAGTCAAACTCCCTAAGCCAGCAGCTAATCCTCAAATTATAGCCGATTCTCTTTGGGAACAACCACAACGAAGATGGATACTACAGAATTCCGGCGTACGGCAACGGCGTGATCCCGACACAGGCGCAAGTCGAATCATTTCTGCTGGAATCCTTCACCTGTCCGAACTCTCACCAGGGCCAGGCCCGTTCAGATAACAAAGTCCCTGCGTGGGTCTACCGATACTTCGGAGATTGGGATAACACAAGACTCTTCCCGACAAGTGGCGCGTACCATGGCGTCGACTTGCACATGATCTTCGGCGCCTCAGGGGACGTGAGTGGAATTCCGCCGTCCGATCCGCAGAAGGAAACAACTGCACTCATGCAGAGCGCATGGGCGGCCTTTGCCAATGATCCGGCGGATGGGTTGAGTTCGGTCCTCGGGTGGCCGAAGTTTGATCAGAAGGAGGAGTCGCTGATACTACTGGCACTTGAGAACAATCCTGAGCCACATTTTGTCAAGCCCAGCGCGTACGATGCGCCGTGTTCTACAGTTACGTTGGGAGCGCTGGGAACTGCGGCACCCTCTTCATGAGTTTTGGTCACTTGATCTGTAACTCGCTGAGCTGTATTAATGGCACTGACCGTCGCATGCATATTTCGGCAGCAGTTGCATGCCAGCCTGATGAGATATTGAGATTATGAAACTTGCTACATCTCTAGGTCGATAGGCTTGGGTGTTCCCCGTAGTAATAGTGATTACTTCTGACTTCACGTCTTTCCAAAAAGTTTGCCTCCATCTCTCCAGATCCGCTTTATCTTGTCTCTCTACTCAGTAGACGTAGAAGTTAGAGGCGTTGGGATCAGCCTCTCTCTTCTTGCGGTTGGTGCGCATCAAAGCCAACTTCATTCCCCAAGCGCAAATGACAACTCCGATAGAGAACCCGATGCTAGCAATCATTGCAGTCAAGAACCGAGGCTTATCAGTGTCTGGCCAGAGATAGGGAGTGTAGATGCTAGCTGCGTTGCCGAGGGTATTGGCCATGGCGATGGCAACCGCCTTCTTTTCGTCGGTTTGACCAAGAGTGGATGAGGTCCACCCGAGAATCAAATTGTTCACCTGTGTCTCGTTTAGTTCCATGTGCAGGAAGGACTGAGCCAGTATCAACTTACACCATATGTGGCTCCAACAAACAGCATGATACCTATCGAATAGCATTAGCATCGACAGTGGAGTATTGGTGTCAGGGGAAGAGTCCAGGGCTTCTTACCTGTGTAACGAACTCCCACGTTGAGAGATGAAACGCCCATGACAAAACCAATGCAAACGATGAGCTTGCTGATAGTAATGTGCCACGTGCGCTCGTTGTACTTTCCAGATGACCAAGGGACCAGAACGGAGAAGAAGGCGGAGAAGACGTAGGGCGGGCAGGTCAGCACGAGACTGACGGTGGTGCTGTAACCAAGCGTCTTGACAACAGTCTGCGTGTCAAATATCAGTCTGAGGTTCGCAAAAAGTACTAGGCATTTTGGAGAAATGAGGCACATACAGGCAAAAAGTTCTTGAATCCGTTCGCTGAGAGATGGAGGTTGTCCATAAGACAGAAGACCCACGTCCGCCAATCAGTGCAGGCCTCTCGAAGACCCGTCCAGACGCTGGTACCCTCGCGGCGGTCTGTGGTATCGTTGTAGATTCGGGTGTGTGCGAGCTGCCGCTCCTCCTCGGTGAGCCAGCGGGTCTTAAGGGGGCTGTCGGGCAAGAGGAAGAAGGCGAAAAAGGCGACGAGGATGGAAACGGCTCCTTGGATGATGAAGAGCCTACATTAGAAAATGTCAGACTAAGTACTATTCTCCTAAGAACGACTTCCGTTGTTGTGAAAAAGGAATTGAATGAGCAAAAAGAGGCTCACCACTGCCATCCAGCGAGACCCCTTACGCCTCGCATTCCTGAGAAAATGGGAGCTGCAATGAGCCCAGAGAATGCACTTGCGGCCATGTTGCCGGTGTAGAAGATAGCCATGCGGGCTGAGACCTCCTTTCTGGTATAAAACATGCTAAGCATGTAAAGAGCACCGGGGTAGAACTGTCCTTTGATGTTAGGAAGCAGCTTCATATCGAGGATTCAAGTGGTCTCTTACCGGTGCTTCGGTAATTCCGAGCAGAAAACGGCAACCCAGCATCGTCCCGAAGTCATGGCACTTGTAGGTCAATAGACTGACAACAGACCAAGCCATCATGAAACCTTGAGGTTGCTCCAGTAAGTAATTGTTCTGCTCGTTGTATATTGAGCGACTTACCAGCCATGTAATACGAGGGACGAACCCGGTTGAGAACCATGTTGGAAGGGACTTGGCCGACAAGGTATCCGACGAAAAGAATGGAAACGCAGGTATTGTACTGATTGCCTTTAAGGCCTAGGTCCTCGTCCAAATCATCGAGTTTGCCGTTAATCATCGCATTCCTGTCGAGGAAGTTGAGGAAGTACATCAACCATAGAATAGGCTGTGATCTTCCGTTAGACTTGTGCCGTCTTAGAGAGGAACGGGTGATGTTTGTGGCATACCAGAATGTACCAGTCAATCTTCTTCACTAGGGCGATCTCCTTCGGGTCTGTCTTTGTGTGGGCACCGAACTTGTCTACCTTCTCAATCACGGGCTGCTTCATGAGAGCAGGGTCGTCGGCAGTCAAGACGTGTTCCATCTGATTGACGGCAACCTTCTCCTGCGAAGAGATGGGCCTCTCGCCATGTGCGTTGTGCGCCATTGTTGTCTTCGTCGTTGGAAATGCACCCGCTCTCAAAGAGGGAAGAGAAAAGTCGCTGAAGAAGCAGTGCGGAGCAGTTGGGGAGATAATTCGAGGTTGGACAAATTTCCGGCCGGCGATCCTGCTTCAAGGTTTGAAAGTGAAGGCTGGCGGTCCTCTAAGTCCACGAGTTGAAGACACGACGATGGATCAAGGTCCGAAGAAGCACAGATATATACTTTCAAACCCCAGCTCTTAATTACAACCTTCGTTCGACCGGCGAGCCGTTCGCAGCCATCTCCTCGGGTCAACAAGCGCGGAGCCAGATGAGCATAATCGGTGGAGAAACCATTTGCGTCCCCCATGGGGTAAATGGGGCACGACGGCTTTTCCGCGAAGTGCGAAGTGCGGAGTGCGGGGAAAGGAAAACAGGCCAAGACTCTTGAAGAGTTGTTCACATCCCGAACCAGGACTCGCATATTTAGTCTGGAGGCGCCCCTTTCAAGTCTCGGCGGACGGGGACTAAAGTTGATTAGCACCTTGGCCTACCTCTCAGGCTTCTGGGCTGCCGTAGAGCCAAGGTCAAAAGCCAATGTTGATTCACACGGCCCCGGATGCCTCTCTACGCTTCACGACCATGTTGCTCTCCCTAGATTCTGAATTATTGTACACAGATGTCGTTCAACGCTGTCAGAGAACTGTTCATCGACGAGGAAGTCGAAAACGTTAAAGGCTTACCTTCCAGTCATCACAATTACCAGGGTTCTATGACTGAAGGTCGGTACTCAACACAATCTGCGCGCGACAACGCGCCCGCCATCGTGGTCCCCTGTTGGTCCCTGCCACCCAACTCACAAAAGCTTGGCGTTGATGGCGTCGAAAGACATGTTTTCCATAGCACCCCCATGCGCCTCTCCCAATATGCCAAGGTCATCACGGAAAAGCCATAGGCGGAAAAGCCACGAGAAGCACGGAAATGGTTCACAAACATCAACTTCGTCGTATGAGGATATTGGCCGTCAACTATCAGCTTCACGACGCTGGCCAGGCAATCAGCAGATGGAGTTATTCCAATGTTTTTGGTTCCATCGGAAAACCCCACAACGCCGCAGCAGTTGGGATCCGGGAACGAATGGGAACGCACCCATCCGTGGCCCTGACCATGGTGTTCATCCAGAGTCTCAGTCATCTGAGTTCCCGCAGCTCGCCGTGCGCTCGGAATAGCTTTACTTGGAGTTGCCATGCAGACGGCTGACCCACGAGCATTGGCCCCTCAATCTTCTGTATTCAACAGAGTGATACTGATTGAGTGCTGAAGTGACAATAGCCGCCTCAGCACACTGCAGCTCTCGTAATCTCATACATCCGTGTCTATTTCCGCGTTTCTCCGGATCTCCAAACCTGAAGGCATGCTTTGAATATCGGCCCCGTATTTATGCTATTAGAAGTAGTGTTACATGGACCATGTTCCAGGGTGTATCGTGTGACCCCTGTTCACCGACTACTGAGATTGGGTTACAGCAGGAAGAGACCCAGCATACCAAGCCGCATGATCACAGATCCGTGAGACCTCTGCGTCTCTGTAGCAGATGCTCTCGCTCCTCAGCAAACTTTCACATATTTCGCAATAGCTTATGTTCGAGAAGAAGGGACCGCGAGTATACGCTATCACTGCTGAGGAGGCATCAAAAACCCGAGGGCATCAGCGTCAGCCAAATGCTGGTTGTGCTTGTTCGAGAAATAGCATCACGAGATCTTAGGTAGGAAGAGGCATACTCGAACTGATCTGCCACCGTCTATTCTCGACAAAGTCCTGAGACCTACTCGGGAAAGAACGAACATAAGGTGGCAAATGCCTGGTCAAAATGCTTTTTTGTTCATCTGGCTGGCTTGAGGTAACCTCGATGCCAGAATCGTGCGAGGGTGGGATCAGCGCCCGCTAAGCTCAAGACATTCGAACAGGACATTTTCATACTGACTTAGGATGTGCATCAATTACACAAAAGCTAGAAGGTAAATGCTAATTACCGATCATTTGGAACCGCAAATCCACTGACTTGGCCTCGTAGCCGGGCCACACCACTTCATCCGGCGACGTTACGGAAAAGCACATCACAAGTCTAGCCACCGCCAGTGATACCAGTTGCCACCTCCTGAATCTTCCGAAGCTGCTGCAAGCACTCACAAACATTTGGACTGGTTCGCATCAGACTTTTGTAAGTTGTGCAATACCACAGCCTGATAGAATTGAAGATTGGGATGAAATGTTGCTTCGGTGAGAGAACGAGAGGTTTGCTGCTCTCAGCCTTGTTCACTAAGATACACGACGTGGGGTTGTCAACCTCTGGCACCTTAGGCCATGATCCCAAGACAGCTTTGAAAGCTTTGTGGCAAAGTGTAGTCTTTATGTAGGTAATGTCCAGGAACGACATGGTCACCTCTAAAAATTGACCCCTTGGCTTCCTTCACCGTCAAGAACGAGAAAAGGAAATGAAGGATTTCTAGAAATTCCATCTCCTAAATATTGCTGATCCCCAGAAATCTTACCCAGACATATCGGCCAGGACCTGTAACCAAGACCGAATTTCTTGGTTAACCTTAGCAGGCTGTTCCCGGAATACCCAATGGCCGGCACCGGGAAACGTGACGAGACGGACGCTATTCACAAAAAACTTTGGAATCCCATCCAAAAACTTCGTCGAAAAGTAGGTGTCTGCGAAGCCCCAGATGATGAGCGTGGGCACCTGATATACCATGCTAGAAGTGTCCACAGGCTGGCCGTATGGTGGGCCCGGGTAGTTGTATTTGTAGTAGGCGTACATGCCTTCCATTGGTGACTCGGAGAGATAATC